ATGAGGGGCTGAGGGCCCTTGAGAGTCATATTTTCATCCAAAAATATTTGTAAGTGACAACCATAAACCAAGCTTTGCACAGTTTGAACAAGACAAACTCCCCAAGGACAAGAAGCTATCATCTTAGAGTGGTGGTTCTCAACCTTCCTAATTCTGCATCCCTTTAATACAGCTCTTCATGCTGTGGTGACTCCAAGCATAAAGTTAATTTTGTTCCTACTTCATAACTGTAATTTTGCTACTGTTATGAATTGTTGTGTAAATATCTGTGTTTTCTGATGGTCTTAGGAGACCCTCGTGAAAAGGTCACTTGATTCCCAAAGGAGTTGCAACCCACAGGTTGAGAACCACTGTCCTACAGGGAAGGAAAACAACTCTTCAAGATATAAACTATAAAACATGACATGCTATAATCTTGGGTGTAGGCAGAGTTTTTTGCCAGGACCACCAGCTCCCCAATAAACACACAGAGACTTAATATTAATTATAAATGCTCAGCCAATAGCTTAGGCTTGTCTCCAGACAGTTCTTACAACTTAAATTAACCCATTTCTATGCATCTATGTGCTGCCCCAAGGCTTGTTTACCTCGTCTATGAACTTCCCATGTTGCTTCTTCCATGTCTGGTTCTTGACTCTTCAGACTCCACCTTTCTTCCTCCCAGCATTCTCTCTACCCCAAAAATCCTGCCTATCTCAGCCAATCAGCTTTTTATTAACAATGAGAGCAACACATTTTCACAGTGTACAGAAGATTATTCCATAGCACTTGGGCAGTAATATGTACTAATAATGAAAAACAGTGTGGAAGCCGGGCAGTGGTGGCACACACCTGTAATCCCAGCACTCGGGAGGCAGAGGCAGGTGGATCTCTGTGAGTTCAAGGCCAGCCTGGGCTTCAGAGTGAGTTCCAGGAAAGGCGCAAAACTACACAGAGAAACCCTGTCTTGAAAAACCAAGAACAACAACACAAAACAAAACAAAAAACAGGAAAAGCAGTGTGGAGGCTAAGGAACACAGAGAGGAGGTGCTGGAGAGGCTAGCTGTATGGAGCCTGTGAAGTAGACAGGAAGAAAGTGATGACACTTTTGCCTTCCAAATCCCTAACCAGAGAGCACATAGCCCCATGCTCCCCCTTAAGCCTGCTGGTCTCTGCCCTAAGTTATGTTGACTGACCATATCAGGTCTTCTTTCCTCCAACTGATGGCCTAATGAGCTCAGTCAAGTCCTTGACTTCTTTAGCAGGCTTACTCCAACTCCACGGAGTAGGTTAACAAGAAGTAGGCCAAGTTTGCCATGATGGAGTAGGCATTAAATGAGGGCCATGACTAAAGGGAAAGTCATACTAGTCCTGACCTGAAGGCTCAAAAAGTACCTAAGAAGCAACAAAGCACTAAGAACCAAGGCTGCAAGTGAATACCATTATCATTCTGTAGAGAACCATGGACAGTTTCCATTTCCATTACCTTTGGGACTCTATAGCAGCTCAGGCTACCTAGCCTTGGCTGGCCCTTTGGGATGTAGAGACCACAAGTCCCCAAGGGGGCCTCCTTCTTGCTTGTATCCAATGGCAGGAGTAGACTGGAGACTGACTTTAACAGTGATGTGATCACACCAACATCTCCAATAAACCAGACCGGGCTTCCTTGGCTTCAGTGTTGGCCCCTGCATAACACAGGAGCCCCCAAGACCATGTACCAAATGTTCCTCTTTTCAAGTCTAATAAATGTAAATCCAGAGAGAGATCAAGTTCACTTAGCGGTCAACTCCCCACAAATTCTTTGTGTTCATACACATGGACAAAAGCATGAACTAAGATCCAAGAAGGTTAGGGTAATGCTTGCCAGAGACATTAAAGAGTGGACTGCAGAACAATGAGAAGCAAGAAATCCTTTGCTTCGGAACACACCCCATCTAAAGCATTACATAAACAATGCTTAGCTGTGGCCACCTCCATCCGCATGGAGGGAGAAGGTCCAGGGCAGTGTAACTGATGAAGACCAGTGGTTCAGCAGGGTGCTGCGGTTATTGAGAACTGTTCTTTCCTTGCATCTGCTGTTTAATGAGTATTATATTGTTACTCCTCACAAAAATGGGCAAGTACTGACGATAAATTCTAAGGTATAAGCCAGGTATGGTGGCACACGCCTTTAATCTCAGAGGCAGGTGGGTCTATGAGTTTGAGGCAAACTCAGTCTACAAAGCAAGTTCCAGAATAGCCAGGGATACACAAACTCTGGAAAAACAACCACCTCCTGACCCACAAAAACTCTGAGGTATAGCACCAAGATTCAGAAGTAGCCTAGCATTCTGAGTTACCCCTAACAAATATCCCACGCTGGGAGGGAGTGTGGAGCCTGTAGTAGAGTTCAAAGTCTGGGTCAATTTTAAGTGCTAGCCATGATTTAGAATGTCACAGGGACTGCAGAGTGGAAGATGGGAGAGGCCCCCCTAATTGGCAGACGGTAAACACTGGCAAAGGGCAGGCACCTACATGTGAATACACAGAAGTAACACTGATGAAATTGCTACCAAGAAAACAGTATTTCTAATCACATTTAATCATAGAGGACGCAGCATACCTATGCTGTGCTCCCTTTACAAATATATTTTCCCTCCATGAATCAAAAAATTCTCAACTATCCTAAAGAAACCCTTTAAGGGACTCTTCAGATGTTCAAATAACATTTCAAAGGACTGTAGGTTACTCCCAACATGCCCAGTGGGGAACCAGGGAATTATGTTACTGTCAAAGACTGATTTGCCAAAGGAGTCCCCTGGAGGGCATGTGGCCACTTTTTTACAAAAGAGTCTCTAACATTTGAAAATTATAAATTCCTTTCTTCATTTAAACATACTTCTTTGTTCTTTCACCTTTTCCCAATGTAGTCTGCAAAGTGACTTGAAAAGCAAGAGAATGATACACTATGTGTAAGGTGATTGTAGACCCTCATTCTGGCTAATTGCAGTGAGATGTACTCCCAACTATGACATAAATGCCTAGTGTCAAAATCTCAGTATAAAACAATAGGAGACAAAGCAACTCAATAATAAATTTGAATGTAGATTATGTGCTAAAATTGCATTTCAGAGATACCTAGTTAAATAATGTGTATTATTAAAGTTAACAATTCCTGTTTCTTTTTTCCTTTTATTCGTGCTAGTAACTTTACATTACAGCCATGGCCCATCCAAGCCTCCTGTTCTCGAGTGTACCCCGCATCCATTTCTGAAGGCAAAGCCCTAGGTTCTCATCTACTATGATTGTTTTATCACCATTGCTGTTACTTCTCCTAAATTCTTAGATGTACTGAGTTGGCATTTAATGAGCATATTCCACCTTTTCAACATCCCTTGTATAAATATGAGAATCATTTTAAGCACAAAATATTTAAGTCAATCTTCAATGGCAAATTCATAAAAAAAAAAAAAAACCATGAAAGCCATTTGGAACAGAAATTGTACTGTCTCCCTGTGACACAAGATACATGGACCAAGGTTATCTAATAGAATCAGTTACCTTGTAAGAAGTCACTAAATCAACTCAGTAAATAGGTCAAGTGAGGTAAAGTTCAACAAACAGTCTTGTCTAAGATTAAAACTGTGTTTATTCTCAGACCTTAACAACTGACTTTTGCTGATTTGTTTACCACCTAATGAATGATGCAAGTTTGCTGGGAGAAAGTTCCCTGGAATACAACTCAGTTATGGGAGCGCCATATGAGAGACCCCAGTACTGTGCAAGGAAAGAAGAATGAAAAGAAACAGGGGATAAAAAAGAAAGGAAGGGAGGGAGGGGAGAGAGGGAGGGAGGGAAAGAGGGAAGGAGGGAAGGAGGGAGGGAAGGATTAAGTAAATTAATTACTTTGGGGTTCAAGATATAGCTCAGTGGTAGAGCATTCAAAAGGTTCTGGGTTCAGTCTCCAGTATCACTGAGAGAGAGAGAGAGAGAGAGAGAGAGAGAGAGAGAGAGAGAGAGAGAGAGAGAGACAGACAGACAGACAGACAGACAGACAGACAATATGAACATAATTTTGAAGTAAAGGGTACATTACAAACAAATTCATTCCCAACCCATCCAAGACACTGTTGCTACCAGCAGTATAGAAGGAATCACTTCTATGTCTCTTATTTTGCTTAATTTTTATGGTTAAGCCTTTCCTGTGGCATTTACATTTACTAAATTACAGATACAACTTTATATATTTAAATTTAACATGTACAACATGATGTTTTAATATATATTAAATATATTAAGAATATATATACATACACACACACACACACACACACACACACACACACACACACACACACACATTGTAGAAAGGCTAATATAGTTAATGCACTATTCCCTAAAGGTTATCTATCATCTTGGTGGTAAGAATATTAAAAACTCATTCTCAACATTTCTCAAGACCACTATTGCTAACTAGTGGTAGCTCATGTCTAAAAGCTCTAGCACTTTGGAGGTGGAGGCAGGAGGACCAATGGTTCAAGGCCGGCATCCCTCTGCCTGGCCTCTAGCTGAAGTTCTGTATCCTTTTTTGCAGCATCTCCCCCAAGTCTCTCCTACCAATAATCACTTTTCTCTAAATGTAAACAAGAGGAGATATCAGCCTGTGGATACTCTCTTGCCTCTTCTTGCTTGGACATTTTTAATATTCTGGATGCTTTCTTTCTACAGAAAATGTTGCGTGAACACAATGACTTCAGAAAATTACACACACGGGATGACAATTGGAACCTTTAAAACATTGTAATTAAGAATCATCAAACGTTTAGAAATGATTGTATTTTTCAAAAAGTCATTCTCTAAGAACTGTCCCAGAAAGTTAGCTAGACCAGTACTCCTGAGGACATTCCATGTACCATCCTTGAAAAGCCAATACAGGATCTTTATCCCTACCCACAGGTATGTTCTCTTCTGATGGAAGCCACGGCCCACATTACCCACTAGTGTGCTCACTTCCCACGGAAGCCACACCCCACATTACCCACCTTGTTATCCTCAAGGTTGATCACTTCCAGGAGGTCGTGGTTCTCCAAACCCTGGAGGCTACTGATCTGATTGTAGGACAGATCCACCTTCTGCAAGGCTTTCAGTTCCTCCAGACCCATGATGGCCTCGATCTGGTTGTTGCGCTAAAATGGATAAAACACAATTTGTGTTTTAAACCAATGTGCAAGAAAATGGAAAGTGGTAAATCTTCATATTTGGACATGGGCCCCAAATTCTTCAAAAACAAAACAATAAGTTGTTCTTTTCCCACCCCCATTTCCATCATTCACCTATCTAAATGTCTGCACAGATACCCAAGAAGAAAACCCTAGTTTTTCACCTGAAAGGTCTGGATATAGTATTTTCATCTTCAGGATGAACTTTCAAGTCAGTAGGAAAGTCAAACACTAGTAATATAAGCTTTTAACAATGCATGCTACAATGTTATCTTTTGATTTTTCAAATTACCCCATTTACTTTTTGAGATTATAATTATATCATGTCCCTCTTCCCTTTCTTCCCTCCAAACCCTCCAATATGCCCCTCCTTGCTCTCTTGCAAGTTCATGACCTCTTTTTGTCCATTGTTTTACTTCAAACATATTGCCTGAGAAGGGAATCTCAACCAAGGATTGGCGGGATGGGTTGGCTTGTGGGCAGACCTGAGATGGATTATATTAATTGAGGTGGGGAGCCCCACCCACTGTGGGCACCACCAATCCCTAGGTGGAGGATTCTGGAATGTGTAAGACTGAAGAGAGGGAGTTGAACACTCACATGCATGCTCTAATTCATTGCTCTCTGCTTCTGTGAATTCATGAATCCCTAAGACATGCTCTCTCAGGCTCCTGCTGCTGTGATTCCCCTGCTATGATGGACTGTGACCCGGAACTGTGAGCTGAAGAAACCTGTGGGAACCCTCAGAGGTTTCCTAGTGATCTGAGCTTGCTTTACCAGCAGGGCTGCATAAGAGGGTGATTGGACCACAGGCCTGGGTACCAGGTGTTTGGAAGGGTCTATGCTTGGCCGTATCTAGCAAAGGGGAGGTCTTTTGCCTCGCCCCTTGGCATTGTTATAAAAAGCCTTTTGAATAAAGTTCTGGGCCGGTGGGTATTGATCCAGGCCCTCCCAAGGCTATCCTGTGTTTCTATCTGTTTCTCTCCCCTCTATCCTTCTATCTAAATCTTACCCTTCACTCCTCAAGAGTACCCTGGGGTAAAGGTGGGGGCAGGTCCCCCACAGAATCACTTTCCCACTTATGTTGCTTTTATCACAGTAGTTTATCAATGCAACTAGAACAGAAACTAAGACACACATCTGAAACCTAAACATCAGTACAGCTTTATGTTGGTCTCTAAAATCATGACCCGAATGCACTCTTTTAGCACCATCTCAGTAGACTCTCACATATACTTCATTTCCAGATACATTCTAAAGTGTATCATCTCACAAAGTCTGTGGGGATGGTTGAGTTGGTAGAGTCTGGTCATTTCTGCTCTTGTATGGTGCCTCCTCTTTAACCTATGCTGGCCTATAAAACCTTCCTTAACCAAAGGGGTATGACAGAAGTGTGCCGGTTCTAATTCCAAGAAATAAGATGACCAAGCCACTTCTGCTTATCCTAGGAGCTCTAGATACCATGTGGGGATTCCAGCCATTCTACTCTGGAGAAGTCATCTGGATAAGCAGAAACCACATGGGAAAATACCCCGAGACTAGGAGACTGACAGACTGATACCTCTGAGTCAATACCCTGAGCCTAATAGAAAATCTAGCCATCAAAGCATCCCAGATGAGTCAACCCCACCCAACCGACATGCCAGCAAACCCATCAGAGGAAACAGCCCCCAACCCAGCACAGAGTGCAGAACTGTTAGCTAATAACAATTGTTATTCCCTCAATACTATGACAACTGGGTAGCTTACTATACAATGATAATCAATTTACTTCTTCAATAATTCACATATAAGCATCTCTCAGACAATGAGAATAGGAAGGAGTTTTCCATACTCAAATGGTTGTCCTCTTTCTCAGTCTCCACATACCCATGGCAATAACAGTAATAACAATAATTTTCATTTTTGAATATTTCCCAACATACTCTTCGTTCCTTGGCCCCTTTGCCTTAAGGAACGGGAAAATGTCATAGTAAAATTTAACCTTTGGTTTGAGTCAAAAATTATCATAAAGAATAAGTTCAAACTTTCAGTTAATATTACATTTTACTTATCCTTAAAACATTTAAAACTTTCATGCCAGGCATGGTGATGCAGAAGAAGTTGGATCTCTGTAAGTTCAAGGCCAGCCTGGTCTACATAGCAAGTTCCAGAACAGCCAGGACTACATAGAGAGATCCTGTCTCAAAGAAAAAAACAAAAACAAAACAAAATAAAAAACATTCAAAACTTTCCATATCAACTTAAGAACTGAAAAATTAAATTACTGTATTCCCTTTCATTTGAATATTTTCACTGGTAATGTTTACTAGCACATTGAATAGCTAGAAACTCATTTTCATCTTATTTTTCATAAAATTTCATTTCAATAATGAGCCAGATTTGTGCTCACTAGTATAATTCTATAGCCCCTTAAAATATCATAATAGAATGTTAATAATCTTTAAAGGTAGATTATAGCCCATGAGGGCTTATTATACTATTCTTTTTACCTCTATATGTTTGAAAGAAAATTGTAATAAAAAGGAAAAAAAAACCCTAATATCCTTATTTGACAAAGTGAAATCAAATTTTCCTGCTTAAAGTTCAAAAAGTTATAAAAAGTGAAAAGTAATAGGAAAGAGACCATGCTGAGCTCACCATCATATCCATATCAATTTAAGGTATTGAAATAAGGGCTCAATCTCCCATTCAAACACTGCCCACATATCAAATTTATATACCATATCCTTTTCCCCAGAGGACTGTGAGGCACTTTCTATATACTGGACAGATGTAATATTCTTTAGTGTCTCTGATGGCTTTCAAAGAGGTAGATGGTCTGAGCAGAGAGAGGCATAGAAAAGTTTAATTAGATAGCCTATGGTCATAAAAGAGAGCAGACCGAGAGAAGCTGAGAATCATAGAATTTCTGATTGAAAGCCAGCTAGGTAGAGCCTTTGTCTGTCACTGAGAAGAACCCAAAGGCCCACCCTGGATGTAGACATGAAGAAGTTTCTGCACACAGCTCCTCCAGCCTCGCAGTGAATAACAGGAAAAAAAAAACACTTTTAGAGAGAAGTTGTTTGAAGTAAATTAATTTAGGAAACATTCTTCATCTACCAGTCTGTCAGGGGAACTGAAATGGCTTTTACTCCAACAAGGTGAAGTTCAAGGTTTGCAGTGCATTGTCACTGTGTTCCGAGGAGGACAGAATGGCCCACTAGCAAGCTGTGAGGGTCCCTTGCCAGCTTTTACATGTCCCACAAAAGATGAAGGCAAAGCATTAGCAGTTGGTTTGTTCTTCTTACTACACTGTAAACTGAATTCTTGTCAATAGCTAAGTCAAATGATTTTCTGATTCTGTGAATTAAAAATATAGTCAATATAAACTGCTGAAGCAAATGTGTATCATTTTTGGTTATAAATTTTATTAAAACTTGGAAAAGACAATTTTCCAATTCTCAGAATTTCAGTGAAAATGAATAATAGCATATTCACTATTTTCTGGTCCATCTTGGGTGCTGGGTGCAGGGACTACAACAATCTATCTCATTTATTGGCAGAAAAAGATACTTAAAAATGCTACTGTCAGTGAGGGGTATGTGATTAATGAAACATAGAATGAAACTGAAATACACTGTTTTTAATAATAATTGTCACTCCTTAAGCACAGAAAACATAAAATCTCAGGAGAATCATGAAACCTTTCTCTGCATGGTACTAGAATGCCAGCCCTCCACCCTCTCTGAATTCCATGGAGGGTTAGACAGGTCGTTAGAAAGTACTTTGAGCTTTAAGAGGAAGAAAAATCATCACAGAGCCAAACTTCGGTGATCTCTGGTCAAATAAAGAATTTGTATGTGTGTGTAAAAAAATGTGCACATGGGGCCGGAGAGATGACTCGGCAGTTAAGAGCACTGGCTGCTTTTCTAGGTTCGATTCCCAGTTCCCACATGGTTCACAACTTTCTGTAACTCAAGTTTTAGGGGATCCCATGCCATCTTCTTGACTCCCTGGGCACCAGGCATGAAAGTGGTACATAAACATTCATGCAGGCAAAACACCCAAAGACATAAAATTTAAAAAAAATAGTTTTTAAATTAAAAAAAACTGTATACATAACCCAATATGTCATTTAACACCCACCTGTGAAAGACATAAACATTAGTAAGATACAAGCCTCATTGAAATACTCCCTGCCCACCCTCTGATGGGTGTGATAAAGGTCAACAAAGTCATCTAAGGATAGGAAGGAGAGGAAGAGTAAGGAAGGATCCTGTATATACACAGTATTACCACCCTCTCCCACACACTAGTAACCTACACTGTTAATTTATAAACAGCATGTGCATCTTTGGGACTCTTGGGATCCTACTGACTTGCTAGCAAACAGTCTCAGCTTTCATTTGAGTTTTGGTCCCTCAGCATGTCACAGGGCACTTTCCTTGGGAAATGTCAATCAGATAGAATCTTTCTGACTGAACTATGTAGTTATTCTCAGCATGACTTATGACTTCCAGACTGGGAGGCTAGAATGCATTGTACAAATGGGCTGCCCGAGGTCAGTACCTGGGAAACACCTTGTGCTCCGTTTGCATGCAATCGAGTGTGAGCAGCAGCAAGCATGCTTACTATGCTCAAATGTTATTTTCACCAATGAAATACATAATATTAAAACTACTTGTTAAAACAGACCTTCTTTCACAGGCTAGAAAATCAGTTTCTAATTCTTTTAATTTGCATGCCAAATTTGAAACTGGCTTTACTTGAACATGGACTATTAATCACTCACACACACACACACACACACACACACACACACACACACACACACAGGAGCATGTATGCACACCAGACTATAAGGAGCAACAAAGAAAAATCCTAAGAGGTCATAATTCATACACTTTTTAAACAATAACTGCTACTTCTACAAAGAATGGCGTCATGTTGTACTCACCAAACAAAGCACTTTGATGGGTAATGTTCCTAAGCCGTTAATTGTGGTGATCTTGTTGCCAGCCAGACTAAGGTGGGTCAGGCTGATGCAATTCTCTAGTCCATTGATTTCTTTTATCTCGTTGTCTGTATATGACAACTCTGTTTAAGGAAAATGTTATTCAAAGTCTTTGGAAAGATTAAACACACACACACACACACACACACACACACACACACACACACACGCACACACACCCCAGTGCTGAACCAGGGGGATGGCTGAACAGGTAAAGGTACTATATGGTGGTCCAATATGGGGGAAAGAGAGGACCTAAAAAATGGCCTCTGACCTCCTTCACACAAGCACCTTGGCAAAACACACACACACACACACACACACACACACACACACACACACACACACACCAAAAAATAAAAATATAAAATAAAATCAGTGTTAAATTATCACTAGAAAAATCAGACAAGAGTTTAAATAAAGGAATATTATATGCCCCATATAGGATAAGCCCTAAATTGCATATGTTTTCATATAGGATAAAACATCACTTCTACAAAAATTTAAAGGCGTAGCATTTGTATCCACAGGTGACTCATTTAATACTATGGAAGAAAACAGCAGTTTGGAGCTGGCTCGTGGGCAGTACTTCTCTGGGTTAGTTAATGATCTCCATGGGGGAGTTTGGAAGGCAGGGTCACCCTCCAGAGGCAATGCGAACGGGGCTTTATCATCTTGGAGCTGTCTCGACAACAAATGGGTGGCTGGAAGGCCACCACCCTCTCACAGAGGGGAGCAGCCCTTTCTTCCCGCTATATCGGCTGCTCTTCTCCCGTTCAAATCCAGGAAGCTAGAAGTCTGCTCTAATATGACCATCTGCCATTTCTGTTCTCACTGATCACATTTTTAAAGTTGATCTTGTGTCCCAGGCTTGTAGTCGGTCGGCCCAAACAGCAATTCCAAAGCTCACTGTTCAGCTAGACCTTCTCTGTCCTCAAAGCACCTGACTAGTTCCCAGGGATGAATGCTACTGCTCCCCCAGAGTCCAGCCAGCTTTGCCTCCCAAGTAGCTGTAACACCGCCATGTTCTCACATTCCTCACAGCATCTAACTGATCTTCAAGACCTGGCGATGATGTTTTAAAAGATGTCTTCAAGTGTTCTTTGTATTTACTCATCTGCCAAATTAACTCACCTTTAGCATCAACGGGTTCCTTTAATAGCCATTACTTTCTGCCCTCAAGTCCCTTATAGGCTAAAGTCAGGTTAATTATTTCAAAATGTTGAGCCGGGCGGTGGTGGCGCACGCCTTTAATCCCAGCACTCGGGAGGCAGAGGCAGGCGCATCTTTGTGAGTTCGAGGCCAGCCTGGTCTACAGAGCAAGATCCAGGAAAGGCGCAAAGCTACACAGAGAAACCCTGTCTCGAAAAAACAAAAAACAAAAACAAAAAACAAAACAAAACAAAAATCAAAATGTTGACTGGATGTCCTCACAGGGGGGGCTGGAGTGGAGGCTTACTGGTTAAGAATGGGTGTTGCTCTTGCAGATGACCCAAGTTTGGATGTCAGCACCCACATCAGACAGTTCACAATCATCTGTAATTCCAGCACCAGCAAATCCAATGCCCTCTTCAGGCCTACAATGGGATCTGTACTCATGTGCACATAACCAAACAAATATATATATATATACACACACACACACACAAATATAATTTTTTAAAATTTTAATAGGATAAATTCAAAATCCCTAACTGGCTTACACAACCCTTCACTATGAGATGTTGCATTTGTAACATGGTGATAACACCAAGTTGGCACGAGGCTAGGAGTTAAGTCATGGGGAAAAATAAGTAAAAATTGGGTGTGATACCAGAGCAATAATGGCACGATTATGGGGGTCATCATCTGTCTCTGCATTTGAGACGTACTTCACAGGAGAGAATTCATGCCTGGAACTGCACACTTGATCAAAAACCCATGGCTGAGGCGGCCATGGGCTCCAGGGGCACTGAACTACTGCTGTTCAGCTAAACTGACATAGAACCAAACTTCCTTCAAAATATTTCTATTTATGCCCATAAACAAATGCAACTTTCAGTCTTAGAGATGCTTCTCTTTGCAGTGAATGAGTGTGAACACAGAGACTCACGGCTACTCATGGTACTGAAAGTGAGTGGTAGTTGCGTGCCCAGCCCTAAAAAGGACATTTACACACCCCTCTAGGGCTTGGTAAGTGTCATGGAGGAAGGGGTAGATAAGTGAGAGTTGGAAGATGGGGGGAGAGCTGTAAAATTGTCTGCAGGGCACGGCACAGCCATTTGAACCATGATCTCACAGCAGCTCTGATAGCTGCACTGGGCTGCACAGGATTGGCTTTGTCAACAGTCGAGGTGAAGAAGGGGCTCCTGGAGCCCTCCCCTCTCTCTTAAACTACTGGCTGCTGATATATCTGGGGTGGGGACTTGGTCACTGTTGTCACTGAGTTGTGTACTCACTCATGAGCCACCAAGCTCCGGTGAATAGTTTTAAACCCATGACCACACAGACAGTCCTTGTTAAACTAAGTGAGTCACAAAACAAAAAGACATGGATGTCAGGAAGACTTATGGGGAAGAGAGGGTACTGAGGAGTGGAAGGGAACTGAGAGAGGGTGGGGACAAGAATAACCAGAATACATTATATACATGCACAAAATTGTCAAAGAACACATTTAATTGTTTTAAAAAGGGTGTGGATGAGCTATTCTTCAAAACTATAAGGCTCTCATATCATTACTACATTATAATCACATGGGGCCAAGGCATCACATCCTCTAACTCTTAGCATGGAAATGGATGACTCAAGATTGGGATTGAATCCAAAAAGAGCTGGACTAGGGAGAGAGATAAATAAGAAAACTGGATAGCGATATGTTACCAAATAGAGCAGAAATTTCTAGGTTTCTCTTACTGGTTCCAGATTCCACCCATGGGCAGAACCACTTTGGTGGTGGTCAATATGCCATTTCAAATCTCCTATGAGTAAGGTCTCTGCCAAAACAACCACACAAACAGATACTTACTCAAAACACTGTCTTTCAGATCTCTTTTTCTCTGGGCTGGCTAAACAATTGTTTTGGAAATAGACAAAGGCCAGCTCTTTGTAGATATGGACTATCATAAAAGATGAACATGAAATATAGGAAATGAGAGATTAAATTACCTCACACAGCTGTGTAGGACATATCTTTGCAATAAGCAATCTTTGGCAACAAAAATTAAGCCATGAAAACTTCAAATAGCCATCTGCTCAGTGTCAGAGAGAAGCAAGTGTTGAAGCCCAGTTTCAGAAACAATAGCATCCTGGAAGCTCTATTCCAACCAAGAGGGAGATGCTCCGAATCACGGCAGAGTGAATGGATGCAGTGGGCAGCTGTCAGGAGCAGTCTCCTGGAAGCAGGCAAAGGCCAGGAGCCAGAAGACAGGAGTCCTAACAATGACAGTGACATCAGGGATTGGGGATCGGGAGCTTGTTTCTGAGACCCCAGAGGATGCCTCAACTCCCTTGGTGCCTCCAGCTTCCTGTACCTGTCACTGCTACATGTCAAGTTTTCTGAAATGAGAACCGGGGGAGAGAAAGGAAGAGAAATGTGGCACCTCACTGCAACCACAGCCCTGGCTCCAGCAGATTCCACTGTGGTTGCTCAGGGTGTTTTGCAAAGAGTAAGAAGTTCAACCGGCATCCCTGTGGAGAACACTGCTCACTCCCTACCGAGACCTCCTCCCACCTCCCAAGTCTCACTCCCCTAACACTGAAGGACTTTCCTAAATTACTTAGGCTCACAAGTGAAGGATACGCTGGCCCTGAATCTGCACGGATTCCACACCCTTTCATTCAGCCAATCAACCACATGGTGAAAACACTTGATGCAAAAAACATACAACTGTTTTGAAGTTATACAGATGTTTCCCTTGTCATTTTTCTCTAACAACCTTTGACATAGCATCTGTCTCAGTGTATACAAGGGATTTGAGCATCCATGGCTTGGGCATCTGAGGAGTCCTAGAATACACTTCTCAGGAATGACCACACTCTTTATATTGCCATGCTCCCCGCCCCCCCACTTATTCCAATAGTCTTATGCTGCAGGTGCTGATTACAATCAGTACACATGACTGGGCCGTGAGGAGCTGAGCTCCCAGCCAGCCATGCTTCCCAGACAGAATACCTTCATCCCTCTAATCTCCCGTTTTCTTATTTTAAGGTCCTTCATGGAGAGTTTCTTGCCCCTCCTCCTAACATTATTATTTCACGTTCTTTCTGAGGTCTTGGGAGTTTCTGATAAGAAGAAATACAATCTGATAAATCACGAAACTATTTCGATGAATTAGCTTACTGGATTAATCCTCTTAGGTGCATTATAATATTAAAAGAGAGCTATCAGGAGAAAGACTCCAAGAACTCAAAGTCCTCACGTTGCTTTCCAGCTCTGAAGTTTTACCATCTTTGTGAATAAATCATTTACAGTGGAATTTTAGATTGTTATGGAAACCACGTGAAGGAACCCTGTGGCACTTAGCATAACTTTACGGCTGGGGCCTGGGGAACCCAACAATATATTTTTACATTCCAGCAATGCTGTCAGCAGTTCATAAACGCTTGACGTGAATTATTCACTAGTTCAGCATTTGCTCTTATTCATTTGTCTACCATCATAAAATATGGTTTGGGTGTACAGAAAACAGTTACTGAGAAATAAGGCCGAAATCCATCAGGATTCTCTGAGTGGAGAGTCATAATGATGGCTTTAATCACAACCAATCCTGAGAGGTCTCTACCACCTTAAAAAGTGGTCTCCGCCACAGGAGTGAGTCTCAGGGAGAACTGAAATCCGCATATAGCTTAAATGGCAGCGTTATTAAAGTAGTAATCGCTCAGTGGATTGCAGAGTGGGCAAGCCAGTAGGATTCAGAATAGTGACCTCAGGCAGCTGCTTACCAGCTAGCTCCAACAAGATGCCGACCTTCCCTGGGTCTCCAGGTCCTTTTCCATAAAATACATAATTAGCACTGGGTGGCCTCTAAATCCTGTCTAGATTTTAAATTCTATGAATCATGTTTGTAATTTATTAATGATCCATCAATACTTGTAAAGAATAAACAACATCTTTACTTAATAATAAATAAATCTACTTTACCTCAACTAGGTTTCTTACCTTGTAATTTAGGATGATTACTAAGTAACCATCAATTATCCACACAGGGAAGGATGAAATAATCTACTATGATAAATAAAAAATTGATACCTTATAGTTAGCAATGTTGTTCAAGATATTAATATAATTTACTATAATCATTTTATATTACAAGCAAAATTGGTTTATTCAAATGATTCAATTAAGAATTTCCACAGTTTGGGACTGGAGAGATGGCCCAGTGGTTAAGAATATGTACTGCTCTTGCAGAGGAAATGAGTTTGGTTCCCAGCACCCACATTAGGCAGCCCACAACTGCCTGTAACTCCAGTTCTGGGGGATACAACACCCTCTTCTGGCCTCTGTGGACACTGAACACATGTGGTGCACACACAGAAAAGCAAGCATGCATGGACACACATGCATTTGCACATGCACACACACATACATACACACATACACACATACATACATATATACATACATACATACATACATAAATAAATAAAAAGAAATTCAGTTTTTAATTCTTGGACAGAACAGACTATTAAGCTGGTATTTTCTTTTTTAAAATATAAGGGAGCTAGGAGTTTGACTTTGTTGTAGAATAGTAGCCTAGCGTGTATGAGACTCTGAGCTTCAGTTCTAACACACACACACACACACACACACACACACACACACACACACACACACACACACTTTCCCGTTCAATCTTTGTGTCTGCCTCTCAGAAATACTTACTATACTGAATTGTCTTTCCCCTTTATACCTAGGTTATATTTATTTTTATTAAAATTCATCTCTGGGATGAAGAGATGGCTCATCTGTTAAAGAAGTTGCTCTTGCAGAGGACTCAGGTTCAATTCTCAGCACTCACATGGAATAACATCTGTTATTCTAGCTCCAGGGGACCTTATGCCCTCTTCTGACCTCCCTGGGCACCAGGCATGCATGAAGTGCACATGCATACATACATACAGGCAGGCAGAACATTCGCAAACATAAAATAAAATAAAGCCTTAAAAAAAGCTTAAATACTCATCTCTGTTACAACCCATTGGTATATTTCAATCATTTTCACTACTATATATATCATTTGCTATTACCTGACAATAGCATAATTTATTTACATCTTCTGTTACTGATGAGCAATTGGTGTCTTTCCATTTTTGCTATTAAAGAGAACACCACAATCAGCACTCCTCTGCAAGCCTCCGGGCACATGCGATTCACTGCAGAAATCAGAAGTGCCAGTCATAGTGAGTGTAGACGCTCACCTTTATAAGAGACCTTGAAGCTGTCTTCTCAAAGTGGTTGAGCCAATGTCATAACCACAGACAAGTTACAAAGAGATCCTCTCACTCCGCATGCCTCCCAGCAGCTGGCATTTTTAGATTAGGGTGCTTAGAATACTTTTGTAGAGAACATACTCAGAGAAAACACTTTATTTCTAGTTTCTTGAGTTGTATTGTGAAAGGGTATTGGATTTGGGAGCTGGAAAGATGCCCAAAGGAACCTGGCACCAAGCCTGATGGCCTGAGTTGGATCCCTGAGCCCCACATGGTGGAAAGAGAGAACTAACTCCCAAAAGTTGTCCTCTGACCTCCACGGGGACACTGTGCTGTGTGCACCCAACAACATGCATGCACACCAAGTGGATTATAAAATGTAATACAAAAACTGCAAAGAGTGCTGGATTTCGTTAAATTTTATATGTCACTTGGGTTTCTTTAAGGAAAAAAGGGCTTATTTTCCTGAATCTCTTAGTGTTAATTATATCATACTTTGTAAAGTTTCTAATAGTAAACTATTTGTAATTTTATTTCACTAATAGCTCAAGAAGAGCAGTCCGTTTTGGCTATTTGTCTCTGTGGTTTTTCAAACACGAAGATGTTATAATATACTCTAATGCCTATGTTCTGGATTTCCATTAGTCTTGATATAATAATGACTCTCTTTATATGTCAGTAATAAGACTCAACTGCTACATCTAATGTCAACATTTAAAAAGGAAAACCTAATTCCTTTCTTTATGATATCACTACATTATTTGACATTCACAAAGTTCTAATATTTTACTTTTGTACATGGAAAGCTAAGTTTATATAAAAAATTAAAACCATCGTGATAGAAATGTTTTAAACTGAATCCTTTATTTTGAGTCTACAATACATGAGAGTTGTTTTCTTTGGCAATTCTGGGCTACACATTGAAGTATCTTGCTGGAGTGAAAGTTCTCCATATCCAGCTCCATTCTGTTCTCTGGGTATCCTGAGGCACAGGTAAGGCCTCTGAATGCTGAACCCCTTTGACAGGCAGGGCTTTAGGGTATAGCCAACCTCTTAGTTTTAAAACATGCCCTCAAACTGTCCAGACACTTGGTTCAAATAGGCCTTGCACAGAACACAAGGATCTGGATTTCTAGAAAGTTCCAGGCTGTGCTATGCTGGTTCCTCTGGGCAGCACTCTTCCACATGGCCAGAGATGAGTAGATTTCCAAGCCAGGTGGCTTCTCTCTCCCACTCCCTTCTTTCCCCTCCCTCTCTTTCTCTCTCTCTCTCTTTGAACATTCATTACACACAATGGGCAAGCATGAAGCCAAGGTTCTGTAGGAAGGTGCTGCGTATGTGTGTGCCTCTGACTTGCCATGGAAACATTTCATTCAAATCTCTATTGGGCTGCTCAGGAGCACCATCTAAGAGCTCACTCACTGCTTATTTTCATCGATGAGTTTGAAAGGGAGTGAGGATGTGTTCTAGCATTCCACATGATTAGACACTTTCTAAAACGTCCATCTCCAGGATCGCCACCTCTGCAATCCCAGGCTTACTAAAAACAAGCTGCTGCCTCATCCCTGGAATGAGACACTCAGGGGCAATCAACTCATGCTCCGTTCTGCCCCCCAAATTCCCAAGGGGGGGGGAGAAAGATGCTTGCTGAGCAACAGAAGGCCCTGCTCTCTTATTACCCAGAGAACACCAGTCTCTGGGGTAAAGAAGAGGCTCAAGCTCATTAGATGCACAGATCTTCAGTTAACCTTTTAGGCTTCCCAAATCGAAGTTGGCATTCAGTGTGCATGGGAGCGTGGTTCATGTAACGCATACATGGATGCTCCCGAAGGTGAATCAAAAACTTGGCTTTTCTTTTGTTTTTAGTTAAATGCATTTTAGCTTGAGGTATAAGTCTGTGGTAGAGCACTTACCAAGCATGTGTGAGATCCCAGGTTTGATCCCTCAACAAAACAAATAAATAAATAACTTACTAGAATGCCTTGCTTTATTTAAAGGCAGCAGTATGAACGCTTCAGTAAAATATCTACTAATTTTCCTCTTGGCAAATCTAGATGTTAAGACTCTAAATTTGTATAAAATAAGTCAAAAGTTTAAGTAAGTTTGAAGACTCATGCTCATTTAACAGAACATCCCTCATTCTAGAATCAAGAACAAGCTTACCATTCATGTCAAGGACCATCCTTCTCCGCTTGCTGGGGTCAGAAGCCCGTGACAAGCTTCGGCCTGTAGAAATGGTCCTTGGTAAACAAATATTATGACTACTGATTCTTATTCAATTACATGAGTCACACACTTCAGGGAAATCACTTATCTGACACCACTCCCTGTAGTCTGTAACACCCTCTCCAGTGGAACAAGTCACCATAGCCTCCCCTTCACGCATTCAAAGGATACTGTCCAAAATCAGTTGAGTGAGAGTGTTGTACGCCGACAGGTCACACATTTCAAAAATTTGGTTGGAGGAAATATCCACCTTCTGATGATAAAAAGAGAACATATGTTACATGTTGCTTTCTTTCAGGCTCACTAGTGTTTAATAGCAAAACAAGAAGATATGTCTCTGGATGTAGACAGAGTTGATTGCTGTAGATGTACTATAGCCAAACCAGGCACCTCTCTCTGCCTTTTCGAACCAGGACACTACTGTCACCACCTCGAGAGAGAACTGAGGAGAAATCTTCTCTGTGGCCCACAAGGATGGATCCTCCCTTTCTGTCCCTCCCCTCCCCTCCAGGGTCTCACTCACTATACAGTCCTGGCTGGCCTGAAATTCTTGTAGATCAGACTGGCCTCAAACTTGCAGAGATTCGCCTGCCTCTGCCTCTTAAGTGCTGGGTTAAAGTGTGTGCCACCATGCACCACCTACTCTCTCGTTTGCAGCTGTTATTTCAGATTTCCATAGTCTTCCTTCAGGACTTACTTCAGTTTCACCCATTTCACCATGTTGCCCATCTTTTCTAACACCCAATAGACCACATTCACTTCAGTTATGTGCACGTCTTATTGTCTGTCCTCCAGGTAGTCTCCCATGATGCCTCTAACTGCCAGGACAATCCTTATTTATCCCTCAGGCTATGCTGCTTCCATTGTATCTGTCTTAGGGTTTCTATTGCTGTGAAGAGACACCATAATCATGGAAACTCTTATAAAGAAAGCATTTAATTGAGAGTGGCTTGCTCACAGTTCAGAGGTTCAGTCCATTATCATCATGATGAGGAGCATGGTGGCATGCAGGTAGATGTGGTGCTGGAGCTGAGAGTGCTAAATCTTGCAGGCAACAGGAAGTCAACTGAGACACTGGGTAGTATCCTGAGCATAGGAATCCTCAAAGTGACACACTTCCTCCAGCAAAGCCATACCCACTCCAACAAAGCCACACCTCCTAATAGTGCCACTCACTATGATATTGTGGGGGCCCAATATCCTTTCTCACAATTGACTCATTTAGACAGGCATTTTCAGCAACATCTGTTGACCCTGGTCTAGAATGAGACTGAAAACAAACTAACTAACTAATTAAATAAAGGGCTTTGCTTAATTCATCTACTGGGAAAAAAATCCTTTTAAAAAAGGCAAAAAAAACTCAAGGCACTCGATGAGGATGTTGCAATCTCATTGCAGAAAGCTGTCAAAAAGATACCAAATAAACACTGTCCCTCTTGTGTCCTTTAAAACAGTGACTGTGCTCCCCTAAACTTACTGAGACAATAATTTCCTACACTACATCCTAGAAAGCACCGTAAGGCAAGAGTAGACAACTGGTTAAGTCAGTCACAAACATAACGGGGTGGGGTGTGGGGTGGGGTGGTGGTATGGGGATTACATGATCAGTGAGACACAAGTTGATAAACCCTAGGAAGGAACAGCACAAGCCACCTAAAGGAGCAGCAACGTGAAAATCAAATCAAACACTGCTTCAGTGACACAAATCTGAACAGAAACTGAGGTCTACATGCATGGTGAATATGTAAAACACAGGGTGTGAAAACAGCCAACATGGCATGGTAAATGCAATTTAACATTTACCTTTTTTGCTTTTATGTAATAATGATGGACTAAAAGTGATCTTATTGCAAGGGCTGAGGTACAACAAATGCTTCCTGTTCTTATACCATAGCATAGTATCTATGGATGCCCTTTCAAAGCTGGATGCCAACACCAAGCCTTCTATGGACCAGTGATGTTGGGCTTTTGGGAGATTTTAAAGGATTATTTTATTTCTATGACTCCCATTGAAACCCATAGCTTTTAGAAAATACCCACCAAATCAAATTAACATCTTCACCTACTAAGATCAAAACATTTAAAAAATAGTTACTTATTTTATGCATATATGTTTGTCTGCACATACATATATTCATCGTGTGCATGCACGTGCCCACGGAGGTCAGAAGAAAGTATCAGACCCCCTAGAACTGGGATTAGCAGGTGGTTGTGAGCCACCATGTAGAGCTATGAATCAAACTCAGGGTCTCTGCAAGAACAGTAGGTGCTCTCAACCACTGAGCCATCTCTCCAGTCCTAAGAGCAAAATGTTTTAAGAAGTATAAAGATGCCAGGTGGTGGTGGTGCACGCCTTTAATCCCAGCACTGGGGTGGGGGGAGGCAGAGGCAGGCGGTTCTCTGTGAGTTTAAGGCCAGCCTGTTCTACAAAGTGAGTTCCCAGACATCCAGAACTGTTATACATTGAAAATTGAAACCCTATCTCAAAAAATCAAGAGAAGAAAGAAAGGAAGACAGACAGACAGACAAACATGTAAGTACAAAGTCCTGCCCCTTACAAAAGAAATACATGCTTTCCCTGGTTGAGGGGTACAAGTCTCACTAACATTAAAGGGGAAAAGAACTCAACCTTCTCAAGTGTGAGAAATAGTTCTACTTTATCTTGGTCTGTAGAAAAAAGTGGACTCTAGAGTCTTAGGCACTGGCTCTTCCACCTCCCTCCAAAGATTAAGTAAGATTCTTAACCATCTGTGCTTCAGTGTTCCCATCCATAGGGCAGGCCGATATCAACTGACTCACAGCTTTATTGGTTTGGACAAGATGACTCACTAAAACCACCAGAAAGCCTTGGCACTCAAGCACTTCTTAGAAAGACTGGCTATGAATTCTCCAGAAAGTTAGACCCCTAAAGATGGAGCACATGGTTTTGTGTTGGTTTCTGAGGTCTTCTGGGGAGGGGTTGGGGTAATGAGAAGAAACTCCTAGAACAGCTTCTGAGGGGAGCGTGAGGCTGCTCCTGGGATGGATTTCCCTGGGATGCAAAGCAAACAGGGCAGCAGAGGAGACTCCAAACAACCCTGTAAATGCAGTTCTTGGTAAGCTTGTGACCACATAGCCCCCTGCTGAGTACAGGCGAGAATTTAAGGTAGCCTAGCAGAGCCAGGAGGATCTCTGTGAGTTTGAGGCCAGCCTGGTCTATAGAGCGAGATCCAGGAAAGGCGCAAAGCTACACAGAGAAACCCTGTCTCGAAAAACCAATATATATATATATATATATATATATATAAAATGCTGCCCAGGTAACAACTGAAATATTGGGGGGGGGGGGGGGCGGGGGAGAAGGGCAATGTGCATGTGATTTGATCAAAGTGGAATGACAGGGAACTCCAGAAGAGACCAAGGTGTTTCAATGCCAGTATGAAGAATGCCAAGTTCTTGATGTCAAAGAGATTTTCAGTTTGATTCAAGTCTAAGCAGAAGAATTTAGATCTAAGTTAACTAGGTTTATAGACAAAATAAATACACAATAAAAGGTAAGAGTTGTTGTCCATTCATTCCTTAAAATAACTTTTTTGTTAAATATTTGTGTCTAACCGAACAAAGCTTATGTTCTGGGGCAATGGTTCTCAAATTTGTTAAGACTCTCGGGGTCACCTAGGGGCCCTTTAACAAGTCCAAAGCCTAGGCTTCCCTTAAGCCACTTAAATCAGAATCTCTGGCAATGGGGTCCAGACCTTAGTAAGTCTTCAAGTCCCCTAAGTGATGTCAGCGGTGAAGAGTCTAGGAGCCTACACTCTTGTGGCTGCCATAGCCATCTGGAACAGAACACACAGTCTCGGGCATGCCTCCGGCCAAACTACAACTTAGAATCTTATTTTCCCAAGACCCACAGGTGACCTGGGAGCCCCTGGGAGCAGGAGAAATGTCACTCCACACACAGCAAGCTGCTCTATGATACACATGTGTTTCATTCCTGCTTTCGAAGGTGGAGAACGGGGCAGGAAGGGCGTGTGGAGGTGAAGAAGGGGCAGGAAAGGTGTGTGGAGGTAGAGAAAGGGGCAGGAAGGGCGTGTGGAGGTGGAGAAAGGGGCAGGAAGGGCGTGTGGAGGTGGAGAATGGGGCAGGAAGGGTGTGGAAGTGGAGAATGGGGTGGAGGAGGTGTATGCTTCTCTCTGGGTCACTGGGCAGGTGTTAACCTCTGTTAAAAGTGATATCCGTGTCGATCATAAGTTCTTTAAGTTCTTATTGCAAGCTTTCCTTCTGGGGGTTGTTTGCCTATACATAAAAAAAGATGTAGGGGATAAGACAACCTGACTCCCTAACTGGCAGCTGTTAGACTCTCCCTTGATACCCTGGCCACCTTGAGCAAAATAAATGTTAGGCACCCAGCCAGCCAGGCCACCCTTATGCCAGCACCAGCCATTTTGAGCATGCCACAGAAGCCTTGCAAAACTACCTAACCATCACAACTGGATGCTCCAGTTCCTGAAGGCACAGCCGCAGGCAGGGCCGTTTCACCTCACACCAGACATTTTTTTGTCACACAGTCTTGGTGAACTCTAGATGGTCTTGCAATCATCTCCACCATGGTAAGGGGTGGGGTGGGGGGGCACTTCCTGATGACCTAGCTGAGAGACTGTTCTAACTGGTAGGAAAGGAAAAAGGCTGTTTATTGGTGCAAACACAAACCTTCATTGACATGTAAGGTGAGCCGTGATTGGTGCAACACTCCTTCTCTGGTTATACAGGCAGGAGGTTCAGGTTCCAGGGGTAAGCTGCCTGAGAGACCTTTTCCTGTGCCTACACCATTGTCTTTACAGCGGCAGGGCCCACAGAAGGCTTCTCCAGGTGGCCTTAGGTTCTGCCTACTGTAGTAGTGTGGGGTGAGCTGGTGACATACAGAGGAGCAGAGCAGAAGCGGCACAGTGACAGCAGTTACAACAGCTGCACAGCTAACAAGCCAAGTTAGACAAGGTGGCAGGCATCTGGCTCCTCGACACTGAAGAAGAGGCAGCCGGGCAGTCTGAGAGAATGGTGAGAGCAAGGGATCGGGTGGCAGAGAAACGCGAGAAGATGGTGAGCTGAGGCTGAAGGAGGCTCTAGGAGCCAGAAAGCCGAGACTCTGGCCACTGCTGCTGAAGGGTTCCAGAGAGCTGTGGAGTCAGACACTGCAGGCCCTGGAACTCTAACACTAGTCACTGTCAAAGGCCGAGAGGAAGCCTGCTATCCACGCCTTACTGGACGCTGCCAGCTACGGCCAAAGGCTGTGGAGGTCTGACCTCCCAGGCTGCATGATACACCGGGCTTGCAGGAAGGAGCTCAACGGCCCAGGGTTCTGCTTGCTGCTGCTCGCACCTGTTCCGGGCTGCGGGCTGCGGGCTGCAGGCTGCGGGCTGCGGGCTGCGGGCTGCGGGCTGCTGGCAAACACTGAGGGAGCAAACACTGCAGGACCCCAGCACTGAAAGAGCCTGCATTGCTGACCCACAACTACTATCCAGGCAGAGCCAGCTCATTAATAATAAGAGTATTAGTTTCTTTCAAAGCAAAGGTTGGGTAAGGAAGAGGAGGACAAAGTTTGCAACAAGGAAATGTCTTCCCACCATCTCAGATAGAACTGCGCTGCTGTAACTGAAGAGATGCAATAGCCACTGCTACTTAAATAAGGGCAAAGGAGCCACGTGCGCTGGCACACGCCTGAACTCCCAGCACGCGGGACACTGAGGCAGGAAGGGCAGAAGTTTGAGGCCAGCCTGAGCTGCACGGAAAGACCTACCTCCCCAAACCAAAGAAATAATAATCCATGAAAACCTTCTTTGTAACCTAAGAAGATGAAATCAATCTGGCCAAGAGAGCAGAAGGAAGCAGGTTCCTTGAACATGAGCTTTCCGCAAAGATCTCTCAAGGACTGTATGTTGACGGAGCATCTCAGTGACACGCATGTCTGTACTTCAGTTCAGATACCCACACCGTGTTATCCCCTCTGACTACTCTCCGTGAATTCTCTGTTGCTTGTTCAAGCACTGTGGTGAACACTTACCATATGTGATGAGTGTATTGATAAGCATACCTTGAGATTTTGGGGTGGTTTGAAATTGAAGAAGGTAGTCAGCTTGTTCTGAGAAGCATTTAGTTCTAGGAGATATGGCATGCAGCTCACACAAGACAGATCTGGGGCCAGAAATGGTAAATCAACAAGATGCTAGAAAAAGCCATTAAGCACGTTACATCAGAACATACATTTTTTTTTTTTCCCAGACAGGGTCGTATTGTACAGCCTGGATTGGCCTGGAACTCATTATGTAGACTAGGCTGGCCTAGAACTTAAGAGAGATTCACCTGCTTCTGCCTCCCAAGTACTGGGATTAAAGGTGCTACCACACCTGGCCCATATCAAAATAACTTTTAATTATGCCCATTGCAAGAGCATCTCAAATATTTCAGTTGAGTCAAATTAATAAAAATTGGTAGCATGTGAAATATTTTGAAAGTGTGGAGCAGAGGAGGTTAGGATGTAGGAGGAGGGTGGGGGAGATGAGGGATAGAAGAACCACAGGACATGCTTTATTCTACTATGTCATAACAGTATCTGACACATTATAAGATGACTTAAAAATCATTCAGAAATGTGTAAAACTCTATGAGCTAATAATTTCTCTTTCTTCCCCACGGCCCACCCACTTCTTCCATCTCCTGTATTTCTGGGATGGCCAAGTAACCTATGTTGAGGCCTCTTGCACACTCCATTCATGTTCCCACCATCTGCTAACCCCTAGGGGCTTCAAACATTACTAGCCTTACAGGAAAGGACGTGAAGCTAAAGCCTCAGATGCCCCTCTTAGTAATTAGCTCCTAAATGACTGAATTAGGTCTTTTCTGAAGGCTGGAAATACCACAATTAGGGAAGTCTGTTGCTCATTCAATTTTGTTTTAGTTGGACTTAATCCTAAATCTCATTAATTATTTGAGGTGATTTAGATCCATTACTTGTTACTGTGCTTTGACTCCGGATTGGCTACATCTGAGTTCTGCATTTTATCCCAAGCAGATATCCCCAAACTTGGCACTAAGTAAATCACTGTGCTAATGGAGGCCACTCATGGAATTACAAACGAACTGTGATTGTGACACAGTGTTGGCCCCTGTTTCCGCTCTTCACAGCAGCTGCACACTGGGCACCAGAATGAAAGAAGCCACATAGTAGGGGTTCTAGCCTTGGCGTAAGCGATTCATTCCTCCACCTGTAAGTGGTAATGGTGATAGCACCCCATTTCTCTCTCATTCTGGAGGACACAGAGAACTAGGACAGCCATGCCAACCACAGGCCAGGCCAAGCAGCACAGACAAATGCAGAGTGGGAGAGGGTGGTATGCCACCTGTGTCTTGGGCAGGGCTGGCAGACAGTGTGAGATGGGGCTGCCATCTTGCATTTTGTGATGGCTTGAATGAAAAATAGTCCCCGTAGTCTTGGGCACCTGAATGCTTGTTCCCCAGATGGTGGCGATGTCTGGGGAGGCTCAGGAGATATGGCTTGCTGTAGGTTTTAAAAGCCACACACCATTCCCAGTTCACTCTGCTTCCTGTGTGAGGTTGGAGATGTGGGCTCTCCGCTCTCAGCTGCCAGCTGCAGTCCCCATGTCTGCTGCCACACTGTCATCAATAGGGACTCTAACCCTCTGGAACCATAACCCAAATAAACTCTTTCTTCTAGATTGCCTTGGTCATAGAGTTTTAGCACAGGAACAGAAAAGTAATTAGTATGCCAGATCAAGGGTCTCTGATCAAGGCCAGACAATTCCCACCAACTTCTACTTCGGGTCTTTGGATTAAACAATATCCTAGTTGTGAACATCTCTTGAAAAGGCGATCCATCGGGGTATTAATCAATGGGTCGATCAAGGAAGGCTACCTGCGGGACAAAGCCTATGAGGACATCGGGATGCTTAGCAGTCTGCACCTATCAGCCTGTGTCTACCCATTCTGCGCTCAGCTGAATGTCTGTTAGAAGTGGTCTCAATTCTATGTCTCCACTGAGTCCCCGAACTCCTGCTGGGGTCCATCTTTAATGCCAGTCGCATGGATATCTTTTAAAGTAAAGAATCAGCTAATACTTAGATAGATACAAAGAAATGGTAGTTACATCTCATGCTCTGTACATAGCGAAGGTTTTAAAAATCACTGTGACAGAAAACAATCCCTGGGTTTTAACTTCCATGTAGTCCCCTCCTTGGCGCAGTAACCTCTTTGTCCACCAGATGGCAGGAGCACCTTAAGTCTACACCAACGGTTCTGGACCAGTAGCATCAGCCCTACTAGCCTTGCTCACTGCAAACGTAAATTCTTAGCCTTACCCCAGTTCTACTGAGTCAGAAACTCTGAGGGCGGGATTCAGCAATCTGTGTACTCACAGCCCCCACTACACACAAGTGATTCTGTTGAAAGTTGAAATGTGGTCTACCTCAGAACACGTGTAAGGCTGACATCCCCCAAAGAAAAACATACTGCCATACCAACACACAGCAGACACTCAGACGGCTGAGGAATGAATACAGAGGGTCACAGAGAACCAAGGAGGAGTGGTCTGAAGAGAGAGGCCGTTCTGCAGAGAGAGTGCCTTGAGTGGCCGGCTATGAAGCTAAATCTCTTCTCATGGTTGGCATTGAACCTCATCAGAGCCTCCCATGAGGCTGCAGTTTCTTATTCAGTAAGAGTGAAAAATCAATCTCAGAGATGTGGGGTGGGCAGAGCACAATCAACCTTGTAGGTGTGGGGTGGGCAGAGCACTCCTGCCGGTAACAGCAAAAATGCCTTCCTGGTGGTTGGATCATCACATGATCTGAGATTCGCTTTAAAGTAACTTGGATGAAAAGGGCCAGGGGTGGAGGGGGGTTGTAGATAGATCAAGGGTAGCCCCCAGCTATTACTGCTCAGTATTTATTCCAGAATTTTCTCTGCTCATGTTTGAAATTTTCTAAAATGGGTTTATAAAGAATGGGAAAAACAATGTAACTGTCTCTCCAACATTGGTATTTAGAACAGGATACAATGCTTGTCTGCACTCAAGGGCTGGACTTTATTAGAGTCAGGTGAGAATTGGAAATGAAATTGAGAGACCATTAACAGAAGCATTAAGGTCTTCTTTAAGGCAGGTAAAAGAAGCAAGCAGATACTCCATGGAGAAAGCAGGCCAAAAATAAGTATTTGCTTATATCTCTAGAAGTCTAAAGGGGGAAAAATGTATAATATTAACATCAAATAAGATCAGAAAATCCAAAACAAGGACCAGGCTTTAAAGAAAATACAGCAGTTGCAGGACGATGTTCATTAAGTGTGAAGAAGGAAGGTATAATGACAAATCCCAAGAAATTCAGACGGTGTGGTCAAGAGTCAACTGAAAAAAGGGATGGGGCAGGGTTGACACCCTGAAGCCCTGGTGTTTAAATGATAGTAGAAGGAGCTAGCCAGGGAGAAAACATAAGTGTAAAAGCAAACTAAAATGTCCATGAGAGGGTGGGGTAGCTAATTCATCGGAGCTAAATAATTAGCTGAAGGAAAAGGCGTCATCAAACATCTGTGCATACTAAAGGGATAACGACCCCTGTGGGGCTCCCTGGGTGCACCCCAACTGCGTCAAAACACTAAAGACCTACGTGTCTTCACTTGTGGATCATTGTTCTCTCTCTCTCTCCATAGAAAGCAATGATTCAATGTGTAAATTGATCTACAAATCATTTATATCAAGCTCAGTATTATTAAAGCACATTAAATTTTGCAGCTTGTAAATTTTTGCACTACCTCAGTGATCAGTCTACTCGACTGACAGTCACGTACCTTCGATTTTGTTTCCCGAAAGATTCAGCTTCTGTAGGTGAATATAGTCACGCAGAATGCTGATGTCAGTTAAATCACAGTTCTGAGAGGAAGAAAGAGGGGAAGGCTTTAATATGGCGTCTACGATATCCGCGTGAGCCTTCCTGCAACATCTAGAAACAACGTGATGGAAGGAAATCCAGTTTCTTTCCAAAGTACAGAAGCAAGAGAATAAAAGCTAAGGCTTGCTACGAACGGAATCTCACAATGGACTACAGATCCACTGAGGTGGGGGGGCAGGGCAGGGGAAGTATTCCATCAGAGGAAATACTAGTCAATTGGGTGTGGTAGCACATGCTCTTCAACAAGGCAGAGGCAAGCGAATCTCTGTGAGTCTGAGGCCGGCCAGAGCTGCACAGTAAGACCCTGTCTCAAGAAGAAGAAAGAAATTATTAGCCTAAGAAATTAGTGTTAGCAGCAAGAACACACCACATGAAAAGGTAAATGACAGCCATGTTCATGAGGGCCTTCGGAAGAGTCGGAAATAAAACTTACAGCAAGAAAGACCACGTTTTCCTCTAACCAAAGAAAAGCCAGTGTCGAGAATTACATGAGGTTTCAGGAAAACGTCACAGGTCACCAGGAGATGGCTAACAACACAAGCTGCAAAGCCCTTTCACTGTGATCCCAACAGATCCAGGAGCCGCAGGGCAGACCAGGGAAGCACACAGAGGGGTGTGGCTGAACCTGAAGTCACAGAGCAGCTTGGGAGCTGCCGCACCCAACTGTGCTGAGACTCTGTCCAAAATACACGCCAGAAAAACGGTACTCATGGGAAGTTCACGTGGAGTTAGGAGGGAATTTGATCCCATGGCATGAAGACTAGTGGGTAGGTCATTCTGTCACCGGCAGTAAACAAAGCCAAAGGTGACTAATAAAAAAAAAAAGAGTCACTTGACAGCAAGTTCTCATGCAGTGGAGTGATGGCCATTTAAGGCAGGCGGTTGCAAGAGACAAATCAGCACTGAGTGCCTACAGTGTGCATCACTGTGCTTGATGAGAAAACAGGGCAGAGCTGAGCTCTACTGTTTAAGAATTTAGGACTCTGGCAGGGGAGAAGACATGTACACAAGTAATTAGAGAAAGTCAAATAAATAATAATAAGTTATTATTATTATAATGTTTAGCCTAAATAAGATATGGGGGGGGGATCACTGAACTAGAAAGTGTATTCGGTGAGATAGTTTATTGAGGCCAAATAATTCAGCACATAATATCTCAACAGTAAGGAGGTCAGAGGCAAAATAAGTTAAGCTCCATCCCTCTGGCTGAAATAAGATTTAAAGGATTGCTTTTTTGGCAGATCAATTTAAGGCATAGCACTACATACATAAGTAGACTATTGGTTGAAATGGACCTTTGTGTGGCTGTACTGGCTGCTAGAATTACACCATCTCAATGTCTTACACAGTGCTGTGTGTACAGAGGACTCCATATGTCACACCTGAGTGCCTAAGACATCCACAGAAGGTTAGACACTGCCGGGGATGGAGAAGTATGGCCTTGGTATGCTGACCCCGAAAGACATCCACAGGAGGTTAGACACTGCCGGGGATGGAGAAGTATGGCCTTGGTATGCTGACCCCGAAAGACATGCACAGGAGGTTAGACACTGCCGGGGATGGAGAAGTATGGCCTTGGTGTCAACACCTCAGCAGTCCTTGGGGATTTTACTAGTCGGGAGTGAGCCAAATCATGAAGCGATAGTAACATTTCAATGTGCTTTTCAAATGAAAGGATGTGTAGAGTGCTTATCTGTACAGGTTGGGTGCACATGTGTGTAACTGGTGCACGTGTGTGTGTGTGTGTGTGTGTGTGTGTGTGTGTGTGTGTGTGTGTGTGTATGTGTGTGTATGAGCCTGTGGAGGTATCTTCTTCAACTGCTCTTCACCTGCTATTTAGAAGCAGCATCTCTCACTGAACCTGGTGCTCACCCTTTCGTCTAGACAAGGCTGCCATGCCAGTATGCCTGGGATTCGAACTCCAGCCTTCACACTTCCACAGCAAGCACGTTACCCACTGAGCCATCTCCCCAGCGCCTCGATGTGTTTTTTTTTTTTTTTCCAATGGAAGCAAAAAGAGTTAAATTATTTTTCTAAGACTATGAGCAACAGCAGAGAAGCTGAACTGGGGGTGGCCAGCTCTTACACCCCTTTGCAGTCAAAGCTGGCCCCCATTCTGTGTTACTCTAGGACTGGGCTTGAAATCTTGAAGACTGAAGACTAACAATAGATTCTTTTGCTTTAATGATAGGTATCTTTATGAAAATAAAAGACAGCTCAAAGCTACATATTTCTTGATATACTTCAGGGGAAAATCGATATCAGAATACTCGGTTCCCAAGGACTCAGATAGAAAGTTTAGCTCTGCTTTGGCTGATCAGAAGGAAAATTCTTACAGAGCTTTTGATTGGTTCTACAAATCCAAATTCAACCTCCTAAAGAAAGCATTGATTACTATAATATAGACTATTTAGGATGAAAGAGAGTATGAAGAGAATGGAAACAAAGGAATTTGGGGAGCCTATACTGAGATGGCTGAGGCTCCCTGAAGTCTAACATTTACATGTACATTTCTCATCACTCATCTCCATCAAACAGGAGGCCCTAAAATTTACCGCCACTACCAAAGCCATGAGTACCAAAGAAAATGTATATGATCTGTCCATGTTGCCAACCTACAATGACCCTGTCATACTCACTGATAAATTCAGGTTGAGGTAGACCTGCTCCGTCCCAGGGCCTGACCATCCCAGTTCATCGAGTGCCTCAGCCACGGCCTCCTCTCTCAGGATCCCATCAAACTCCTCCTGCAGAAAGCAAATGGTGGACAAAGAACTCGCATTAGAAAGGCAGCCATCTACTTTGTCCTATCCGGCTCCCAGAGAAAAGGCTGCATGGAAGACATTCCATACTACACACAGTTAAGTAAATGCCCATCAAAGTCATGTCTTGCTGCCGCTGACTTTACAGGTGGTTACTTACATGTGGTGTTCGATGCTGAGAGAACACCATGGCCTAGGAGCATCCATCTTAGTGGCCCTGTATAGGAGCTCTGCTCTCCACCTGCTAATTCTTGGGACAGCCCTGGAACAGGCATCCTTATCTCCATTTTACAGATGAAGTAACTAAGGCTTAGAGGTTACCTTGCTCAAAATGACATGACAGGATGTGGCAGAGCTGGAGTGAAAACTCAGCCTGTCTGACCCCAAGGTGATTCCGCACTGGGCTGCTTGCCCACGCCTCAAGAGATGGTTGTTACAAGAAATGAAGGCAATAATATCTCGAAATCTGGCATTCTTGCTAAACAAATCAAGTCCTCGGTTCACTTTCTAGTAGCTATTTTTGTCAGATTCATCTAATTTACAAGATGGGTGGCCGTCACGTCCATGAGGAGGCCTGCCCTTGGTCTACAGCCAATGGATGGCATGGCATTTCCCCACTGAAGGCAGACAGAAGAGACAGGACACCAGTCTGTGTCGCATGTCTGTTGCCTTGAACTCTGTAATGGCCGGCATGGACACCAACATCAGCATGGTGGCAGAAAACACGTCATCACGGCAGCCATACTGACATATACGGTACTTATCATGATGAGCGTATTCACTGTGATGGGAAAACATCCGTTCAGTTCTTTACTGACCCCAAAGCCAAGAATGCTCTTTTGGGTTGTTGGTCCTGAGGACCTAAGTTCGTAGACTCATGTTGCTCTAAGAGTTTTTCTCCCCAGGGAATACTGCCTGCATGGAGATAGTGCATGTCCTTTGGAATCGGGTGGGCTCAGTTTGAACCCCACCTCTGCCATGTGACTTGGGGTAGGCAAAGCTTTCTCTGAGCCTCGTTTCTCTGCCTATAAACAGAAAGTATGTTTTTCTTTAAATGTGTTCTAGACACACCATTCCTCCAAAGTAGGCTGCTTTTGGTATATTGATTGTTTGGAGCTGAAGGCACTTGAAAAAAACAGCAAATGCAAGGGGAGGCTTTCTCTGAACTGCTTTTATCTACAGAGAGGCAGATCCTTCAAAAGGAACTCGATTGTTATAAATCCCCTCCCTGGGAGTTTCATCAACTGGAGGAGATTGACCCTTATCGCGGGAGCAGAGAGAGGCTGACACCACAGTGAGGCGAGCTTTGTCATAACCTCTCATACCTCCCATCTGTTCTAAGAGCCCGTGTATCTTTCCATGAAAGCATTTGCCCCCCACCCCCTCGAGTGGCCTACATTCCCTCTACCCATCCCCTGTTACATGGTGTGTAAGCTCTCAAATCTCACATAAAAAATTCTCCAGGTCAGCAGGATGGCACAGTGGGTGGAGGCACTTGCCTCCAGCCCCAAGAACCTGGGTGTAGTCACCAGAACATACATGGCAGAAGAGAGAAAACTCCTACAAGTTGCCCTCTGACCTCCACATGCATGGCACACACATGAATAAATAATTTTAATAGATTTTTTAACATTTATTTATGTGTATGAGAATTTTGCCTGTACATAAGTATGTGTACCACATGCATCGAGTGCCCAAGGGGGACAAAGAGAGTGTTGGAAGCCCTGGAACTCAAGTTATGGATGGTTGGGAGCCACCAATTGGGTGCTAGGAACCAAACTAGAGTCCTCTACAAGACCAAGTGCTCTAATGGCTGAGTTGTTTCTCCAGACCCTGTAATAGTTTCTCTCCTCTCTCTCTCTCTCTCTCTCTCTCTCTCTCTCTCTCTCTCTCTCTCCTATCTGTCTACTTACTTATTTATTTTTATCTATGTGGGTGTTTTGCTTGCATGTATGTCTGGTGCCTGTGGATGTCAGAAAAGGTCTTTAGATCCCCTGGAACTAGGATTACAGATGGGGTTATGAGCCACAATGTAGGTGCTAGAAATCAAACCTGTGTACTCTAGAAGAGCAACCAGTGCTCTTAACTGCTAAGCTATCTCAGCAGCCCCAACCCTTGTTTGGTACTGGAAATCTAGCTAACTACTCAATGCTAGTGAAATTGTGGCTATTGGAGGAGAATCTGCAACCATCGATTTACACAGCCAGCGTAACCCCTAATAACAATCTATAAACATCTGTCCTTACACCCACAGGTAAGTGTAGTCTTTACCCCCCACCAAGGAAACTTCTCTTTGCAACAGATGGAGACCACTACAAAAAAAAAATGTAATAAAGGTTTTTTTGGTTTTGTTTTTTGGGGTTTGATTGTTTTTCCAGACAGGATTTTTCTGTGCAGCTCGAGCTGTCCTGGAACTCACTCTGTAGACCAGGCTAGCCTCGAACTTAGAGATTCACCTGCCTCCACCTTCCAAGTGCTGGGATTAAAGGCTTGCGTCACCACCACCCAGACTGTAATAAATTTTTTTTAAAAAAAATCTTTTCCTATGATATCCCTGATGCATGTAATACTAAAAATCAATATATTCATATCCCTAGTCTATGTCAATCTGCCCGTTGTCACTTTATTTCATAGGTCCAGCTATGAAAGCTAGTAGATTGGGAAGGTCATCGTTTCTCTCCTATCCCTTCTTTTAATGTTTTAGGGAGAAGGGAAAACTAACATACAGAAAGCTCTTGGCACAGTGCCTGGAACACATCAAATGTTTCGATAAATGTGCTATGTGCCAGTGTCCCATAGCTGTCACACTGCTCCCAAGTGGGGAAGATATTCATGCCCACACATGAAGTGCCAACGTCCTAAGTAAAACCTAGCAGGTAGTGGGGCTGAGGGAATGCTGCCTTCCTAACTTCCCACCTAGAGCGCCACAGGTCATCCGACCTCACCCCACTCCATTTCCTTACTTATTCTAGCAAGAAGGCCTGTTTGTCACCATAGCTGTGGACATCCGGGTGGGCACAACTGCCAGCATTTTCTCAGATCCCGAGGCAAGGCTCCACACAGGAAGCCCCTCTTTAACCTGCTTTGTATTCCCAAGCGCTTAGTCCAGACTCTTCCTGCTCCCCTACAGATATTGCTGGAACCCTACTATTCTCTCATCTAAATTTCCCTGGTCATTAGAGAACCCCTTAAGATATCAAGCGTGTGTCCATGCACGGCACAGGGCCCTCTACAACCTAGCCCCACCTCAGCCACCTTTCCTGCTCTTTACCTCAAACTCCTGAATGCAGCTGGACCCATCTCCGTATGGGACACTTCAGGCGCTAACTGCTGTGACTTACTTATATGTTACTCTAAGAGCAGGGACCGTGTCTGTCTTCAATCACGTTTTCATCTTCTATTTTAACTGCTGCTATCATTTATTACATCTGTAACTTCTGAGAGTCTACTCTATCTACCAGATATTATATTGCAAACTTTAATGCAGTCGCTTACTAAATTTGAAGTCTATAACTATCCCAATGACTAGACGTGATCACTCACCTTGAGTTGCTGGCAAAGGGTGGTTTTTCCTGCATCAAATTTTGGGTCAAGACATGGTCAAAGTGTGCTTTCTACTAAGCAACTATTCCATAAATGTTTGTTCAATAAGGCTAAAATCACTTAATGAGCTACAGGTAGTAGTTAAAAACACATGAGTTACTATTACAGTATCAGGACTATATTATGCTAAGTATTTAAGTTTGGTTTTTGTTGTTGTTGTTGTTTTCCGAGACAGGATTTCTCTGTGTAGCTTTGGTGCCTGTCCTGGATCTCGCTCTGTAGAACAGGTTGGCCTCGAACTCACAGAGATCTGCCTGGCTCTGCCTCCCGAGTGCTGGGATTAAAGGCGTGCACCACCACTGCCCTGCAGTATTTAAGTTTTTATTAAATTTTCATTTGTATATGTGTTTGTATACATGCACACACACCATGGGACACGTCTGGAGGTCATAGGACAAATTTGGGGAGTCAAGTCTCTTCTTCCATCATGTGGGTCAAGGGGATTGAACTCAGGCCACCAGGCTTAGCAGCAAGTATCTTTACCTGAAAAGTCATCTCACTGGCCCATGCTAAGTATTTTACATACAGGATATCATTTAATTATATTATGAGACAGGGATGACTACCAAACCTGTATTTTGAGTTCTAGATAAGCTAAGTAACTTATTCAAAATCTTGCTACTAACAAAAGGTTAAGCCAGGTCTCAACCACAAGTCTTTCATCCCAAAAGCAACGCTCCAAACAGCTGGTCTCAACTGTTTCCCTTAAATCCATTAGGGCTTCTGAAGTCCAAAGCTAGCCGCATTGTTGGTTATGACTACCACATTACTACCCGTAATCAGTAAGATGTAGGAAATAAACCACTCAACATGAACGTACACTTCTTCATAACTTTTTCAGTTATTCCACATTTTAAAACTTAAGCAATACCACCAAAAGCCAAAGTCAGAATCAATATTTGGAATGTAACTGGAATAAGGAATAAACTTTTTCTCCATACCAGCAAGGACTAACCAGCTGAATGGCCCATCTATGGCTTGTTAATGACGAGCTGAAGACAGATTAATGATGGCGTTAATGAACCCATAGCCAAGGAGCCTGTGCTAATTAGAATCATAAAGTATGTTGGTGGCTCATTTGTGAATTCCTCTGGGGAAGAAGGTGGTGGAAACCATACAAACATTTCAAAGGAGCAAAAACACTTGCTATGGTGTGTGGTAGCCACAAGCTGAAGGCAGCACCATTAACCAACAAAGGAAGAATAAAATAAATAATGGTTTCTGTGTAAGTTTTTTTATTCTTTTATTTTTAGTATTATTACTTTTTAAGGCAGGGTCTCACTGTGTGACTCTATCATCAAGGCTCCTAGCTAATAGCTATGTAGACCAGGATAACCTCTAACTCCTGACAACCTTCCTTCCCTTCTCCGCCTCCCAGTGCTAGGAGTGTAGGAGAAACACCACTTCTGGCACACTTCTACGGTCAACTTCAAGCCAAATTAGAATGTAACTAGACCACAAAGAGAGAAGTGTAAAAAGAAAGACAAGTGAGGGATGAGGGTGGGGGAAAAAAACCGGGCCAAATATTCAAAGTGAACCAAAGGGCATTACAGACAAGAGCCCAAGGAAGAGCATGAATTAGAGTAACAGAAAGTTAGACGGGGAAGAACAAGAAATAAGACAAACCAGGAAAGGAGCTTCGGCGAGGGAACAGGAATAATGAGGAGAAAGATGTTTGACACCAGGGAGAAAGGTGACTAGGACACGACACATAGATGTGAAGAAGTTGAAGCGATGTATATGCTGAAGGAAAAGAAAAGAAGGGGATCCAATATAAATGTAAGAATTACAATTAAGAAAATAAAGAAAAATTAAAATTCTGAGTAGCTAAAGCAAAGAGGAAAGCCTAACCGTGTATGGGAGGGGAACAAATCAATTTCGGATTTTGAAAAAGAACAATTCTTAGAGGCCGATAGAAAGAAGCGATGGAATGCGAGGTGAAACATGAGAAGAAGGTAAGAAAGGATTGACCGCCAAGTGCGTGGGAACTGTCGAGGGCTAGAGAAAAGTGGAATTAGGTGAGTAGGAAAGAGACTGTAGAAAAATAGTTAAGAGGTGGGGATGTTGGAAACACGCCCATAACTCCAAGACTCTCATGAGTGAGGGCGTGCTGGCTCTCCATCATGCTATGGCTCTCTTCTTGACCAGGAAGTGTGGTGAGTGCTTCAATAGGCATAAACCCCTAGCAGAAGTAAATTATAAAACTTTTAAGTTATTTGATCTTTGGTGGGGCATTTGGATTATTTAAAAAAAAAAAAAAAAAAACAACAATTTTTCACTCTGGAGAAAAGAGGGTGATAAGTCCACAACTGGGAAGCACGCAGAAGTACTTCAGTTTGGAGAGACATGCTGGGAATATCAAAAACTAACTCTTGCCTCTTGATACTAAGGTAGTAACCTTGTCAAGGGGTAATTTTGAAAGCATTGAATCCATAACCTCCATACATTTTTTTTTCCATAATGGCCATGTGTAATCTGACACATAAGAAACCATGAAAAGAAAGTAGATATTTGGAGGGATTAGGCTCACCCCACCCCACCCCACCCCCTGCCGCCGGACAGGAGGTGAAAAACACAGGAAATAGGAGAATAGAAATGAGCAGCAAAGAAAGGCCCTCTCCATCTGGGCAAGGGGCGCCTGTCTGAAAGGAGTGGGCTGAGCCTGGGACACAAGTGCAGAAGCCAGCTGCACCTGAGGCAGCCAGGCTTGGCCGCTGGAGGGAGCCCGGGAGTGGGGTGAGGATGCGGGTGGGAGTGGGAGAAGGCACACCTCCAAATTCATCGTTTCGGATTCCTCGGACTCTTCGGATTCCTCTTCGTTCTGATGGTGCGCCTCCACTTCTGCATCCGGAGAGCGGGAGCGGTGGATGAGCTGTTGGAGGAGGTAGGAGGAGGCGCTTTTGAAAGTCCCTTTCGTTCTCTGTCCCATGGGAAAAGCAGGCCATTGTGTCTGACGATGTTTTGCTGCGAGCGACAGTATTGCCTGGATTACAGCTCGGGAGGCTCCCAAGCCTCCCTGGAGAGAAGGCGCTTTCCCCTTCGAGGTACTTTTCTCGTAGGCCGACATCTTGTTTATGCGCGTTGCCTAGGAGATTGCCGTCTTGGCCCTCGCCGCCGCAAAGACTTCTGGGGGTTGTAGTCCCACCCCTCCGTCCTCGCGCAGTCTGTGGGTATCTCAGTCAATTTTGCAGTACTTTTCTCTGCTACTTCTTTTATTTTCCTCTCTTTAGTACGTTCAGTCTCTAGTTTTCTTCCTTTTTGCTTGTGTTTTTCATCTCCCTTTTCACCCCCTTTGTCTCCAACTGTCTGTCTGTCTTAGAACTTGTTCATCTCACATTTGATAACATTCACACAAGCATCTCCAATCTTCTTCCACACCATCGAACTTTGGAAGTGTCTTAGTTAGGGTTTCTATTGCTGCGACAAAACACCATGGCCAAAAGGCAAGTTGGGGAAGAAAGTATTTATTTGGCTTACACTTCCATATTGCCGTTCATCACTGAAGGAAGTCAGGGCAGGAACTCAAACTGTAGAATTCTAGAGACAGGAGCTGATGCAGAGGCCATGGAGGGGTGCTGCTCACTGGCTTGCTCCCCATGTCTTGCTCAGCCTGCTTCCTTATAGAACCCAGGACTGCCAGCCCAAGGATGGCATCACCCACCATGGGCTATACCCTCCCCCATCAATCACTAATTGAGAAAATGCATTACAGCTGGATCTTATGGAGGCTCTTCAACCGGAGGCTCTTCAACGGTGGCGCCTTCCTCTCTAATGACTCTAGCTTGTGTCAAGTTGACATAAAACTAGCTAACAGGTTTTCTGTACCCAACGCAGTAAGCAAGATCAAGCCGAATTAAAAAGTAAAAGACCAACCCTGTCTCGAAAAACCAAAAAAAAAAAAAGTAAAAGACCGGCCGGGCGGTGGTGGCGCACGCCTTTAATCCCAGCACTCGGGAGGCAGAGCCAGGCGGATCTCTGTGAGTTCGAGGCCAGCCTGGGCTACCAAGTGAGTTCCAGGAAAAGGCACAAAGCTACACAGAGAAACCCTGTCTCGAAAAACCAAAAAAAAAAAAAAAGAAAAAAGAAAAAAAAAAAAAGTAAAAGACCGGGCTGGAGTGGTGGCTTAGAGGTTAAGAGCACTGGCTGCTCTTCCAGAAGTCCTGAGTTCAACTCCCAGCAACCATATGGTGGATCACAACCACCTGTAATGAGATTTGGTCCCCTCTTCATGCATGCAGGCAGAACACTGTATACATAATAAATACATCTTTAAAAAAAAAAAGTAAAAGACCAGATTTATTTGGGGGGGGGGGGACGACACGACAGGAGAAAAATCACATGGTCAATCTAAAGTGGGGAGTTTAAATACACTGTAGGTCGGGGGGGGGGGTGATGACATGTCCTCACAAGCTGGATTTGTGCCCAATTATGGTACGCTTTTAGGCGCGGTCTTGAGCAGCTAGTAGCCTCAGGGGAGGAGCCGCTGTGACCGCCAGGAATGCAGAACTGGACTTTTTGGCTGGTTTTCTGAGAGGGCGGGGTTTTGAGAGAGAGAAGTGGGCCGGGGCTGGAGATTCCAGCCAAACACAAGCCAGTACAGGAAGGGTTTGGCACCCCTAATTCTGTGGGAAGCTAGTAACGCTGAAATGTAACACAATGCAGAGCGCTGTGGGAAGAGATAAGGGTGTGAGGTAGATGACTTCGAAGACCTGACTCCTCTCCTTTTCCTTTCTTTGTGGATAAGGAAGAGAAACTACCAAAGGATTTTTGAAAGCTCATTTGCAGTTAATTTACATTCCTGTCCAACTCTAAGCCTGGTCCTTGTGGGGAGGGGGACTAGCAGTAGGAGGGAAGAGGAGGGAAGAGAAGGAAAGAGAGTGAATCAAGACTGACAGTGTGTCTGAAAGCCTCTGAAGAGCTGTTAGCATCCCATAAATAATTGTATTAGTCAAGTGACCTGCATTGGTAATTATTTTCATCCTGCTGAATAGTTCTCTCTACAGTTTTATAAAATGTTCCTCTTGCAGGATTACAAAGCATGGTTTTATGCTAGTGTGATTTTATGAAACCCAAATCCTATAGCCTTAAGCTCCACAAAACTGTGGTAACTATTATTGCCGTAATGATGACAGTCGAGATCCTAACAGGGAAGTTGTCCTCATCCTCTGGCCTTACTGGGCCTTTTTCCCACGCTTCAGTGACAGCAGTTACAAATACAAAATGATCCTGCCAATGGTTGTCAGGGGAGAAGGAGAAAAAAAATCCTTATGGACACTATCCATTGACTATTATCTTTTTTAGTGCTTGAGGGACCATTAAAACTGACATAAAGCTTTTAGAATTACCTTCCTTCATTATCTTGCTGCTCATAACTGGAAAGGACACAATGAAAGTATCTCTGTGCTAGGTTCGCCTTGCTTCTTATTCCTTTCTGACGAGGGATTTCTCTTCAATCTCATTGCCTTAGGGTCCAGCTCAGGCTAACTAGGAAAACTAGACTAGACTATTTGCTCTCCCCTTGCAGAACTTAAAAATGCAAACCCTATGTGGATTTCCAATAAATAACCTTACTAGCATTTGTATCGGAGAAAACTTTGCCAATGGCAATCTATTGAGAAAAGTGTCTTATGGTAGATTTTGGATCTGCCAAAGAATAATCCCAAAACGTGAAGAACATGTTTGTCACACAAACACTAGAGTGAAACCCAAGGCAAAGATACTGTCCAAGTCTGTGTCCAGAATCCATAAGAGAAGAAATTCTGAAATAGGTTTGCTAAGTCTACTGTTAGAAATAAGTTTGCGGTTCCAAAAAGACCATCACTCCCAACTGAAGTGTCTCAACAAAGCAAAACTTTACTCTTGTTCAGGAGGGTGAACTAGAAAGAATGAACACAGACACACAGAGACAGGAAGTATAGAAGTGTTCATTCTAACTCAGGTGGTAACTGGGTCTTTTCACCATTGCCTGAGGTCTGACTTCAGTCTCCCAAGATTGGATAGTTTTAAAAGAATCAGAGAAGATAAATGAACATGGAAGGGGGTCATGACTTTAGTCTGAGAATGTGGAAGAGGGTCTTTGTGCTTTTATTGCTTGGGGGTATTAAAATATTTGCATAGAAGTCCTTCTGGGTGGGGAAGAGAAAAGATCTGAATTCCTTGCCCTAAACACAAGTGTATTGGTTGCATAGTACTTGATAGAAAAGACTTGTACTTAATATTTCTTACAGAGACAGAACTGGTTATTATCCCACAACACAACAAAATCTAGCCTTTGTCATGTAATATTGCTATGCATTTGGTCTCTTCATTTTCACACCTCCTTTATCTTCACTTGATGGATGGGGCCACTGAGGCTCAAGGGAGTTGAACAACTGTCAGAAGGTAGGGGTGCATGTGTGCATGTGTGCATGTGTGTGTGTGTGTGTGTGTGCAAAAAGCCTGATGTAGAATGGCCATCTCCACAGTCTACCTTCAGCTACAACTTTTTGCAGATGTAAAAAAGCAAGCATTCTTGAAGGAAGGAGAGGGAGGAAGGAAGGAAGGGGGAGGGAGAGAGAGAGAGAGAGAGAGAGAGAGAGAGAGGGGAATAAAGCTTCCGTGGAAGACTCATCATAAAAAATTTACAGCCAGGTGGTGGTGGCACACGCATACCTTTAATCCCAGCGCTCAGGAGGCAGATCTCTTTGAGTTCGAGGCCAGCCTGGCCTACAAAGTAAGTTCCAGGACAGCCAGAACTATTACACAGAGAAACCCTGTCTCAAAAGACAAACAAACAAACAAAAACATTACAGTTAAGGTTCTTCAGTCTGACTAAAGAGTCAACTCCGAGAATCACTCTTTCATGTGGACTCAGAACACATTAGATTCAGAAGGAACCAAAAAGTCTGTCTGAAAACCAACTCCTTCTACAGAGCTAATTGATGGTCTCCAGGAACAGTGACTTTCCTCAGACTGCCTAAGCTGGAACTGCTTGGTGCTCAGACTTGGTCTTGCTTTTTTACCAATGTGCCTGCCAAATTGGACTTATACTGACTGATGCCTTATTTTGGAGTTCTGCACATCAAAATAGAAGGTTTTGTCTTCGTAAAATAAAGTAGGTTGATTGCTGTGGGATGTTCTGTATGGCAAATGTGTTGCTAATTAGTCAATAAATAAAACACTGATTGGCCATTGGCTAGGCAGGAAGTGTAGGCGGGACAAGGAGGAGAATAGAGCTGGGAAGTGGAAGGCTGAGTCAGAGAGACACTGCCAGCCGCCACGATGAGAAACAGCATGTGAAGATGCCGGTAAGCCACGAGCCATGTGGCAAGGTATAGATTAATGGAAATGGATTAATTTAAGCTGTAAGAACAGTCAGCAAGAAGCCTGCCACGGCCATACAGTTTGTAACCAATATAAGTCTCTGTGTTTACTTGGTTGGGTCTGAGCGGCTGTGGGACTGGCAGGTGAGAGAGATTTGTCCTGACTGTGGGCCAGGCAGGAAAACTCCAGCTACAGTTGATGACACAAACCTAGACATTTCTGGGAAGAGAGGATCATAATGGAGAAAATGCTTCTGTAAGATTGCCCACAGGCAAGTCTGTGGGGTATGTGATTGATGTGGGAGGGGCTATCCCATGAAGAAGAGTGCCACTCCTGGGCAAGCGGTCCCGAATTGCTTATGCAGGCTGAGCAAGTTGGTAAATAGTTTTGCTCCATGGCCTCTGCTTCAGTTCCTGTCTCCTGGTTCCTTGCCTTGAGTACCTGCCCTGACTTCCCTCAATGATGAATGTGACCTGAGAGTTGTAAGCTGAAATAACCCTTTTCTTCCCAACTTGCTTTTGGTTGCAGTGTTTTACCACAGCAATAACAGCCCTAAGATACCAGGCAAAGAGAACAACACTAAGCAGAGGGTAGGATATGAGGGAACAGAGTGTTTTGTTGAAACTCTTTCTGTTAGAATAAAACACCAGTAATTGCATCCATGTACCCACAGCTTCCTGTAAAGCAGAACTGTAAGAGATTAGGGATGTGCATGCATGCATGCATGCGTGCGTGCGTGCGTGCGTGCGTGCGAGCATGCGTGTA